GTGTGCAATTTTTGCTCGCCACTAGCCTTGGTGCTCCTACTTATATTACTACTTATGTGGCTTCTGGTTCCACACTTTTAGCAGAGGTGGTCTTGGTCTTGGTGCATCGTGAGTTATAATTTTGGCCAGCTTCACCTCTGGAACCGTAGTCGGATCTTCCTTTTTGTGGAGATTCTGTTTCCACCTCCCCTACTGCTATTGCTGTGCCTTTTCATTCTACTCCTTTCGATCTATCTTACCCTTCGTCTGCATTTTTGGACACAATTTCTCATGCATGTTACCTCTTGTCTATTCCCCATGTGTCTTATGATTCCTCCCCCTCACTTCTTCATTCTGCTCTGACTTTGGATTATTTAGTTTCCCTCTCTCACCTGATATTCAAGTCCATTCTGAACAGTTTTGTACCCAATTATGTTTGGGTACCAGCATGCTTCAGCCCCCATGTTTGGCTGACTCCCATGCTTTAGCATATCATATATTGGAATTGCCATTTTTGGAGTCTCAGACCTTAAGAGTCTATGTTTCAGGCATGTCGCTTCAGTCCTGCTACTACAATATGATTTTCCCTGGCCTAATTCTCTTGTCTCCATCTCACCCTCACTACCATCCTTTATTAGTTCTCACCTATTCACCTCCTTATTGAGGTTATTTACCATTCCTTTGAGGGGTTGTTGGCAGATACATGTATCCTTTTTATAGGTTAGCATGCTTATCTTCCTTGGCCTTATCCCTTCACACATTGTTCGTTTATTGTTTGGATCTCCTTGGTAAGGATGCCCTCTTGTCACATGTTTGTCTGCCTGCTTCCAATTTACATGATCTCTGCCAGGCTCCTTTATTGCTCTAATCTGTTTTGGGGGATACTTTAGAGTGTAGGATTGAAGCTGTGCATCAACATTCCTCCCTCTCCTCCCTTGTATTTTGTCTTTCCTACTTCTACCCTTCTTTTGTTCCCATGTTTTGCCCCCTTGCATCCTCCCCCCTACCAGTGCCACATTCCTGGGTTTTTAGCAAGTCACCAAATCGGCCATCATTGCATTTCCTGACACCAGTTTTGTCAGTGACTATCCTGTGGGTTCTAGCACTGTGGGAGAATTGTTGGCCAGGTTTGCTCATCTGTGGAACCCTTTTGCCACAGACATATGGATTCTTCAGGTTACAACAGAAGGACTGTTTCTCCATTTTCTGCTTCTTCTCCTTTATCCTCATGTCCTATTTCTTTCCCCCTCCTCAGGATTCACTTTCTTGCTGGCATCTCTCTGAGGTGGTTCAAGGATGCTGTAGAAAAAGTGTTTCACTCTTCTCTGGGTGTTTATTCTCAGCTGTTTGTTGTTCTCAAGAAGACTGGTGATTGGCATCCTGTTTTTGATCTATCCAACCTCAACTATTTCATCAAACTCCCACAATTCACCATGGAGTCTTTCCTCGCCCTCAAGTGGTCATTCACTACAGAACTATGGATGACTGAGGTTGACATTTCAGATGGTTACCTTCATATCCTGATTTCTCCAGCATCCATACACTGCCTTCAGTTTGTTCATGAGGGTCAGTTGTTTCAGCTCTGCGCTCTACCATTTGGTGTAGCATTGGCAACATACATCTTCTGCCGTGTGGTTGGAGCCTTTGCTTGCCATATCCACAACCAGAGTTTGTGGTTTCATCATTATGTGGACAAGCATCACCTTAGTAATCTGGATTAAATGTTCTGCCAAATCATTAGGTTAGGGTTGATGAGGTGAAGTGCATGTCTTCATCATACTTAACACTACACAGCTCAGAAAATTGACTCCCTGTTACCTGCCTGAAATGCTTTAAGAACTTGTCCAGGTCTTTTTTTAATACTCTTTTGAACATTAAGGTTGAAATCTGCTTTGTCTTACTCACAGGAACCTGTGGTACAAACCAAAGCCTCTCCCTTGCAGGTTCTTGGCCAGTGGTTAATTAAGATGCCACTGATATTGCAAGTGATGGGCAAATAGACATTCCCATAGACTTCAACATTCAAGTAGTTAATTGGTCCCTGGTCCAGGGCAGATTAGTTGCTTGCAGCAACTCTGCATACAAAATGACACCCAAAGTTTTTTGTGACCCATAATTGCTATTGCAGGATACTCCCTGGTTTGGGGGTGCTCATAGTCTCACCATCCAGTAAAACAATTCTGAATGGTGAGTTCATATACCAATGGCACTTCCATTCCTCTTTGGCTGAGGTACGCTGGCTGGCAACCTCCACAAGTGGTCTCAGGTGCCATTCCAACTTGATGCCAGTCAGTCACCCTCACTTCCCTTGAGCTAAGACCTACTTTCAGGGATAAGGTTTGACCTAATGGTCTGGGCTCACCAAATATTGACTGATAACCTTGAGTCTGCAGCTGTAGGCTGACCAGTATTAGGAACCTTTGCTTATCACTCAATATCATTTTCACTGATTATGACTTTAAATGAGATGTAACTTCATGCAAGCTAGTCATAAGATGGTTCTCTTCCCTGTACTTTCTCCTTTCCTCTCTGAATAATCTGTTGCTTTCTTGGCAACTTTTGCCTGTTTTTCTGTCAATGGCTTTTGGTTGTTTCCTGACTGTTACTTTACATCTTATGTCCCTATCTCAATACGTTTGTTGATTTAGGTCCCAGTTATCTATCAGTTTAGTGTGCAGTTCTTTCTGTGGATGTTTTTGCTTCTCACCTTGCATCCAAATTCCATTATTTATTTCTCTTTCCCCCTGTCTGATGTTTCTTTACTGTATGTACTTTTGTACAAACTGTTGCGTTTTCATATTGATATCATGTAGGTATTGTTTTTCCATGCATGGTATTAGGTAGGTTTGAGTTTATGTGGACAACACAATGTCTATACTGAGGTCAGCTGTATGTATATGGTGTGATTATTAGTTAATAAAGCATTCCTAACTACTGTACAGGATATCACATTATATGTTGTAATTTGTTTAGATAATGAGTTCTGACTTTACAGGTGTATATTCATTCAAACTAAACTCATCACTATATGAGGCTTTGTTGTTGGATTAGTTGTTTGTAGATGCAGTTATCATTTGTTTGGTACCATTTACTTCGATTAATCTTAAATATATTGATACTACTTTTGCTATTTACTGATTGACTTGTTATTCATTTTATTTTATTATGCATAAACACGCTTGTGTTGTACAATTTGAACCATTTTGCTATTGACTCTACAGCTAAAACAGTAACATATTGCCATTTATTGCATATGTTAAGCTAATTTAATGTCATTTTGTTGAAGTTTAATGGGTTTTCAATGATCACTGTCCATTGTTAGATAGGATTACTTAAAGTTGTTTATACATTGTTGTCATGCTTTTCTAAGGATAAAGTATAAGTGCCAGTTCACCTGTAGAGATGTACAATTAACTATATTAATTGATAATTGATTACCTATGAGCATCAAATAGTGTCTGATAAAATAACTGATTAATCAAAATTATGATTAACTCTATCTTTGTCATGAAAATAATCAACTAATTGAAGTTAATGTTTCTGATTATTACTGTTTTTGATTATTCCAACTATTCAAGTAAATGAAATATTGCCATTATCATTCCTCATTATTATTTTTTATTAATTCATGGTTGTTCAGCTTAATTTATTAGTGTATCTGATTATTACTATTTTTGATTATTCAATTATCCAAGTCTCGTGAAAATACTCGATTGGTTGAACATAATTAGTGAACCCAATGATTAATCAATTATAAAATTCCACTAATTATACAGCTCTATCCATCAGTACTAGTTTTTACGATTAACAGTATTTGTTAAAATGCTGTTATAGTTATACAAGCAAATATATATATATATATATAGAATATTTTTACACTAATACAGGTTATATTGCAATGTTAGCTTAGTATATGGATTTAGGACTTACCTAAATCTCCCTAGGTGGCCAAATCCCATGAGACATTATAGGGAATGTGGCTGAAAATATTGATAACAAGGAGGTTATTCAACTTATTAATCAGTGCATTTTAATTTTTGTTTAATAACATTGTGTACTTATAAATAGACTAATATGTTAAATTATGCATGTTATTTCCTGAGTTAAAAGTTAGTTTTGATCTATATAGGTAACTTGCTGTGATGAAAATTTATTGATAAACTGTTACCAGTTATATCCACTTATTGAGAGAAACTAAGTTAAAGAAGTAGTTTTTAAGTTGAGGACGATATTTTATTGGCTCATTCATGATGTGTCAAATTTTTTCTTAATTCTAAACTCATGTTTCTTTTATTAAACATACATACATACATATATCTGTTTTGTTTCTGTTATTCTTGCACTTCCAGTTACTCTAGAAACATAGAAATGTCTTTAGTTTACAATGTCAGGTAATTAAAATAAATGCAGTTTTATTCATTATACTTTATACAGAATTAATTATTATTGTACCTAATGCCATATAAAGTATGATTTATAAATCAATAGCTGTTATCAACTAAAATCACAAACGACTGAGCTCTAGTGTCATCAGTAGTGGTGTGCACCACACATACAGGGGATGTGGTCAAGATGCTTTTATATTTTTCTTATTGGAAGCCTGTACAGCTAGTAAAGAAAGACTTGCTAATAGTTATCAGTCTTGTTGTAATGTAACATCACACTCCATGAAGTTTTATAAGTAATAGTTCTAAAATTCATTATACAGATTTTTTATAAGGTTTTCATGAAAGAATATAAATCTAATTAATATGCTTATCATCCAGTATCAAATTTTTCATTCTATTATTCTATTATAAGTTGCATTCATGTTAATCTTATTAATATATCAAAAATAAAAACTAAACCATGGATCTGTGATTACAAACTTTTCTCTCTCTCTTCTTTTTTTTTTTAACATTTACATTTATATGTTTATAAAGGACAGTAAAGACCCTTCTGTTATATTAATGCTCTTCCCTTTTATTTTATTTTTTTTCTGTTTTGAACTTATTATAATGAAAAAGTATTTGCAATTGCAGGAAGCCATTACAAAAATTTTATCTTTGAAACAAGAGTTATCTGATGCCAACACACAGCTAAAAAAAGAAGTGGCAACATTGAAATTGAAACTTCAGACAGAGGAACAAGCAAAGACACTTCTTGAAACTGAAGTTGAAACCCTCAGGGAGCAGATAACACAGATATACCGCCCAACACAGTATGATAATGTTAACGACAAATCTAGTGAAAATTCTGACAGTGAAATACTACATGGAAGGCCACAACTTGCGATAGGACTGTATGAAAAAGACACTACAAATGAAGAAGAAGCTAAAGCTTCTTTTAATTCAATAATTTCTTCCCTTCATGCCATTACTACTGACAACTGTAACCTTGAAGAAAAGCTTTCTTGTTCAGAAAAAGAAATAAAAAAGTTGAATGATGTAATCTTGTCTCAGACCAGAAAGATTGAAAGTTTGAGCTTACAGTATAGAGAGTTACAAAATGACTATTGTAAATTAAGACAATGTGCTGAGAAACAAAATAACGATCAATTTAAAAAAAAAATTGTTACAAGTATTGAAATGATTAAGAAAAGTGATGTAAAACAAATGGAAGCAAATAAAAATAATATAGATGAGAGTTTTACTAGTGAAAATATGGAGTTGAATAACATTCATGATCAAGAAACCATCTTGGAAAGCAAGCTAAAAAATGAACTAGAAAATGTAAATAGATTTCATTCAGTCAAAAAGGAAGAGGAGAGTAGTTTAAAGAGTTTCTTAAATGGACAGGAAGTAGAGTATTTTCAAAATCATATTGAGAACCTCAAAACATTGCTTCAAGATAATGAAACAAGTAGTGATGAGAAATCTGTTAAAGATTTAGAAGAAATGAAAACCAGAATTGCATGTTTAAGTGAACAACTGCAACTGTCCCAATTGAATTTTCAGTTTCAGTCTCTTGATGAGACTGAGAAAGATACTGATGTAAAATCACTTTTAAAGAAATTGTATTTTTATGAAATGAAAAATAAAGAATTAGCTGATTCTCTTGCTGCTACTACAGAAGAACTATCCCAGCTTAGAATATTAGTAAAAAATGAAAAAAATCCTTTGCAAGTTCAAAAAGCATCACAGACAGAAACAGAGTATTATGAAAATGATACAAGTGTTGTAATACTTCATCAGAACATGAATGATTTAGCTCTAAACAGACTTAAAAAAACTGGAGAAAATCTTGTATCTGAAGAAAATGTTGTCAAATGTGAATATGATAAAACTGAAACAGACAATTTTGACAAATTATGTTCAAAAACTACACAGAGTAATAAAATGGGTAGTGAAACAGACTGTATATCAGATAAGAGTGAGTTCTCAAAGAAAAACTCAGCTTTTCATGATAATTCAGTGTACTTGGGGTGTTCAGAAAAACAGACTAGTGTAAGGAATTGTCAAAATGAACTTGTAAATCATGGAAATACTGTTGAAGAACTTGATACTGAACAAGTGAATTTAAGTTCAAAGTTAATAGAGGAAAAAGAAATGGAATCAGATATTAAAAAATTTAAATTTTCTAGTGAGAAGTCATCAGAATCTTATAACACTCTTTCTGATGACAGTAATAACCTTAATCTAAAAGACAAAAATGAATATGGAAGAAGTACATCTGTCAGTGCTAGTAAACCAAATAAGGATAGTATTGAAAGAGAAAATGATTTTGAACATGGAAATATAAAACAGAAGAATGCTGAAATTTCTATGCTGAACAAAAAAATTGAAGTACTAATGAAATTACTTGATCAGAGTGATTCTAGTAAATGTTCATTGAAAAATCAAGTAGATAAGGTCAGTTGTTTAGAAGATCGGATACACTGTTTACAGACAGAAAAGGAACAGCTATTAACTGTCATCAATGAAAAGTCACGTGAATGTAGCAACTACAAATCAGAGGTGTACCGTTTGGTGAATATTGTTTCAGCTGAAAAACAAGCACTGAATAAGCTTCAGAAAGATAATCAAGATATAGTTAGACAACAAGAAATTCCTGATAAAGAACTGACTAGAGAAACTATTCAAAATCTCTCCAGAATTATTTGTGATAAAGACTTAGAAATTGAGAGCCTAAGACAAAAATCAGATACACTGTTAGCTTTAGTTCAGGATCCCTCTTTGGAAAATGTACAAATAAATTCTCTTTTAGAAGAAAAAAATCAGTTATCAAAGCAGTTACATTTATATCAATCAGATAGAGAGGAAATAGTCAAAACACTTGATCAAAAACATCAAGAAAATGTAAAATACCATGATGAAATTCAAAGATTAAATGAACTTGTACAAACACAATGTGAAAAATATGAAAAATTAGAGCATCAGCATCACACAATCTGTAAGCAGTTTGAAGACAAGAAGAAATCTCTCATTAACACTCAAAATGAACTAATAGTAGTTAGACAGAAGCTTTCGAGTTTAGAATTACAGTTTGCAGATTTAAAACAAATATATCACCAGGCATATGACAGAAAGCAGTCAACAAAGTCAGCACAAATTCAATGTGATCTCACTAATGATGAATTCAGAAGACTTTCGGAAGTTACTACAGGAAAAGTCTTGTGGAACCATGATAAAGATCATGTCATCTTAGAACTTTCTTCATCTATACAAAAACAAAAAGAAGCAATAAGTGAAAAAGAATCTGAAATCGTTAACCTGAAAAAAATAATCAAAAACTTTGACTCCAATAAAGGAGTTTCAGAAAAAGAATGGAACTCATGTGAAGGTATTACCAAAAAAGACATGGAGTTACAACTTGAAAGCACACGTGCAGAAATGCTGAAGCTAGAAGAATCTAATAAAAAGTTGACCACGACAGTTCAAGAGCAAGAATTTGAACTTAAAGCTCTACAAGACAAGGTTGTTACACTTTCAGAGCTGGTTCAGCAACAAAGCCAAAGTGGTGACAATAAAGGAAGTCAAATAGAAAGGTTGTTAATGGAAAGTAGTGACATGCTACAGAAAGCACAGAAATTTCAACGAGAAAAAGATGAAGCTTTGCTGAGCCTTTCCCAGCAGCAGGCAGAGAATGTGGACCTGCAAAACAAAGTAAGAACCTTTAAATTTTATTCCATTTCTGATGTATAAATACTGCCTTTTGTCAGGCAATTATACACCACCTAAAAAACAACAACTTTATTTGTGAATTTACTATTTTTGAATTTTTTATCTTTTTGCTTAACCGTCTGAGGCTGAGATGCAAACAGCTATTATGTGTTAGATTTTTGAATATTGTTAATCATTATTATAAATAATTTTGTTGTTCATCTCTCTTCAAACCTTAATTAGTTGATAAATAAATAATTAAAGAAATAATTGTTTTTGTCTCTTTGTTTATCACATCTGATGATAGAAAAAGTAATTGTAATACTTCCTCCTCTGTACTACCTTGTTTTTTTTTAATTTCATTACTTTGGGTAAGCTACTAGTGAGTATAAATCAAGATATGATAAAAATAATGTATGACAGCTTCTTTTTTTTTACTGTAATACCTACAGAAAAACTAGATTGCTGAAAAAACACCTTGAAATGTGGTTTTTGATGTCTTGAATGTGTATGTTTTTATATATGATTTAGTACATTTAATTTATTACAAGAAGTATATTGGCTTGCTTCACACACTATATGATCAAGAGCCCTTCATTTTTGGTTTCCTTAACATTCTAATGTAAAAATGAAAACGTTTTGTAAAGCAAACTCTTTCTTTCATTCTTCAAAATTTAGCGTGAATAAGACATTTGATTTACGATATCTTACCTCCTTTCACAAAAAGTTTTCTTGACTTATACTGCCCTCTGTTGGTACAACTTTTCACTCGCCACTAGCCTTGATACTCCCACTTACCCTGACATATGTTAACATACTAACATGTAAATGATTATGCAGAAATCCTCCATCAATAGGAGTGGGACACTACCCTTATTGTAAGCAGGGGCCTCTCTAATCTTGCAGTTGTTAACCACTTCTCGATTGACAGTCTTATTGTGTAGATGTGTTTTCGATCATGGTTTGGTTAACATATCCAAAAGTTTTTACTTTCTTAAATTTTTCTACATCAGTTACATTATTTTTTAATGTTTTTGTTACTGTTTCATAGAAAGTTAAGAATTACTGTTTTTTCTCTTCTCTGCCCTTTCAGTATCGAGAGTTATGCACTCGCAGTTTCAGGTGGTCATAACTACAACTGCTGTTACTACTGTAGCAAATTTACTGATCATGTCTGCTGGGCCAGAACCACAATTATTGGCCCATGAAGTGATGGCTCTGGTTAGTCGGGAGTTGACCAGTTTCATGAAATTTTCAGAACAAACTGATGATTGTTCTATCATACCTACTCAGGGTTTGAATGATTGGGAAGAAGAGGATTTGAACAGCCTTTTTACCCCTCCTGAATGTGCCTCTCAGTCGTGTGTCATTTCTGGGGAATTGCCCAGACCCCCTTCCCCATTTGTGGAATTGATTAACCTGACATGTTATGTTCTGTCCTTATTTCCTGTTTCCTATGGTTCCACTCCTACCCTTTTTTGGGGACGAGCCTTTGGGGTTCATACGAGTGGTTTTGGAAAGCAACTGCATTCGGAGGTCAGTATGCTTTGACCCCCATGCACTATGTATGATCATGCTTTTACTTATCTTCACTTTAACTTCCTTTACTTGGACTCACAGCATTTGGAGTCGTTTATCCCTTTTTAGGGGATTGACCCCAATACTTTGATTACCTTTTTAACCAAAAGACTCCTTCAATTTGCCCACAGGTCCTTTGCAGTTGATCCATGGATTTTGAAAGTCTGGTCCTCCACTTCCATTCATCTCTCCTGTTGTCTCACAATTCCAGTTTCCTTCCCTCCTTGGGATTATGTCTCTTGCCAGCATCTTTCAGCGTTGGTTTGGGACTTACTTCACAAGGGTGCTATCGAACAAGAAGATCCTTCTTGTCTGTTCATTGTTCTCACAAAGATAGGGAATTGGCACCCAATCATTGATTTATCATCTCTGAACCACTTCCTAGTCATTCCCAAGTTCACCATGGAGTCATACTTAGCTCTTTGTTGGTTTTTCTCACCAGGCTTGTGGATAATGAAGGTCAGTGTGTTGGATGCATATTTCCATATCCCCATCTCCCCTTCATCCAGACAGTATCTTCACTTTGTTCATCACGTGTGTGTTTCAGTTTTAGGCACTTCCATTGAGAGTTGCTTCGGCTCCCTATGTGTTCTGTCAAGTGGTCCAGGCTTTTGCCCACCTGCTTCATTCCAAAGGCCTTCTTTCCACCATTATATGGATGAAGTTTCTTCTCCAGACAACATCCAGGGTGTGTTGGCTTGCAAAGTGGAGAAGCCTTTCCTCACACCCACACACTATTTGGTTCATATCGGGGTGTTTTTAACTCCACCTCAGTCGGACCCAACCTTTTCCACTTCAGTTGAGAGCTATGGAATGTCTCATATGCAGCATCTCTTCCTCTCCTTCTCTTACTGCATGAGAAGTTATTTCTCGTTTGAGGATGTGAGCTTCTCTCAAAGCACTCATACCATTTGGTTGCACCCACATGCATCATCTTCAGTCTGTTTTGATAAACCAATGGAGCCTTGTTCAGGATCCCTTAGATGCCCCTCTTACCCTTCCCCCTACCTTACAGACTGCCTAGTGGTTGAATCAGAACAATACTACTGTGAGTGTACCTCTTCCCTCTTTGTCCAGAATGTCACCTTTTTTACAAATGCTTCTCTTTCCAGTTGGGGGGCATATCTCAACACTCGGGTAGTTTCTGGGAGATGGACTCTTTCCAAGTCCTCTCTCCATATCCATCTCTTGGAGCTTCTTGCTGTTCATTTTTAAGCTTTACTTCATTTCCTACAGGCTATTTGGGGCCAGTTGGTGATGGTCTACTCTGACAATTCTGCAGTAGTCTCATACCATCACCAGGCAAGGGGGCACTCAGTCGAGAGACCTCTGTTTTCAAACATTGGATATTCTATGTATGGACCCACATTCATTACTCACTTTGTTGGCATGTCATATTCCAAGTGCCTTGAATCTGGTTGAGGATCAGTTATCCAATCCCGACAAGATTCTACCGACAGAGTGGTCTTTGGATCTGCATGTTTTTCTCGGGTTGTGTGCTCAGTTTGGGTGTCCCAGATTTGGATGCTTTTGCTACTCATCTTAATTTTGGTCACCTGTTTCCTCATCCTTTGGTGTGAGCAGCCAATGCTATCAGATAGGATTGGACAAGTTGGTACCTCCTCCCATGTGTCCTTGCCATAATTCAGACCACTCCATTTTCTGTTCTGTTAGTGGCTCCGTATTGGCCAGCTCAAACATGGTTTCCACTGCTGTGCCAGCTTTTGGTGTTGCCCCTTTCCTGTCCGTTATATCTGACACTCCTACGTCAGCACCACTCTACCGTGCATCATCCCTCCATTCCCACACTCCATCTTCATGAGTGGCTTTTGTCTGGTCCCTTGCCAGAAGCATCAGATTTATGCAACATGTTGCTTCCTTCATTTCCCATCCTGTTTATGTTTTCTCCATGGCGGTTTACCAACATAAGTGTCATAAATTAATGGATTAGCATATGTATATACAACTCCCAGCATCTTTTGCAGAAGTGAAAAGTTTACTTAGATCATGCAGAATTGAAATTCATTATGACCCCTATAAAATCTCTACATTTGCACTGTAATAATTTTTGTTTGTCTGTTGTGGTGATAAATGGCATAGAATAATTGTTCTTCCATGTTATTTTTGTGCTCCAGGGTTCTAATTTTGTAATTTATCGTGTTAATCTGTATTTCTGTGATTTGGTAAAAAACTGCATTGGGTAAGCCATAATAGTATCTACTTTGAATTTTCTAAATGCAAAGTTCTGAGTCATCCCAATTTCCTCTGTGTCTACGAAAAACTGAACCTGAAGAAAAATTTGTTTATAAACTTGTGTTGAAGTATACTAAAAGTGAACAATATGTAAATAATATTGTTTGTATCAGATTAATCTTTGTGTATTTGTTGCATTAGTAAGGCTTTTGTCATCCATGTAACTTGTTGTCTAACATGCATGTTTTATGTGTGTTAGGTACGTCTTCTTGAAGAAAATGAAATCCGCATGTACAGTGAGGTGGAAAGACTTAGGAGCCATCTGCTTCAGGTACGTTTTATTAAATTATCAGCCCCAATCACCTCCTCTGAACTTGAGTCCAAACATTTCTCAATGGTCAGCTCTTTTTATATCTATTTATTGGATTTTAATCAGATATAAGTATTTTGTATATTAAATTTCATTAAACTATGCAGTTTCTTTGTTAAGATATCTGGTCAGTTATTGTGCCTAGAACCTAACATTATTCTGTGTACAAGGTGTATAAATACATGTGCATATATTGTTTTCAATCATAACAACATTTTTTAACAAGCAATCTCTGACTTAAACAAATAAAATTACTGTAGTCTGCTAAGTGGGAATAATTCCTCCTGAATCCATAAATTTAAGAAAACATAAATAAGTTACAGGAATGTGTAGGGTGCAATGTGATAAGTATTTTGTTCCAGTTTGAGAAGTTTAATAATGTATGGGTTAAGAGTTGCAATTTTGAATGATGGTCATCAATGTAGTCAAGCCAAACATGGTTAGCAGCTGGACAACACTATTTATTTCTCCTCTGCCATTGTCCTTCCTCACACTCCTCTTTGTGTGATTTCGGAGCTCTTCTAGAGTCTTCCTGAAAATACCCAGTCACTTCAGCTGTTTATTTACATTGTTACATTTGTCAGAGATAAATGTTGTTTAACCTCTTTTATGGGTTACTTTCTCAGTCACAGGTATCCCTTTATGATCACATCCTTAACTGCTGCTCTGATAACATTAAAAGCAATTTGTGACCTTGCACTTGCAGGTCAGCTTTGAAATTGACACTTCTGACATTTATACAGAGTTCTCAACTGCTGTAGTTGTTTTTGCCAATTCCTGAAGAAGCTTCTTGCATACATCTCAACTTGTAACATTCCCCTCCCCTTTTTTTCCCTTCACCTTATTGTTGCATTATTTCAGGTTTTTTGTCTCTTCTTTGTGTTGACTTGCAGTTCCCATATCTGCCCCAAACTCGAAACTACTTTTCTGTGGCTTGTAATTGGAAATCTTCCTCTAATCTAGTGCTCCTATCACTTGAATATCTTCTCCCAACTTTGTGGTTTTCCTCTTCTGGTACTTTGCCTCTCTTTCCCCCTCACTATACTTGCCTTTTTTTTATTACTTACTCACCATCTTAGCTTGCTGTTCTCTCTATCCTTTCCTTCTGAAGTTCTGCATCACAACCCCAGCAGGTTTACTGGGGAGGACTGTACTAACCTATTTTCTTGGCTGTACTGTTTCTTTGTTTTTGTTTTATCTCTCTGATGGGCTCAGTTAAGTTGACTGACACTGTAACTGCCATAGCACCATGAAAGTATAGCTATGAATATACTAAGTGTATATTCATGAAATTTAGCAAGTTTTTAGTAATCACAACAGTATGTTGTTCACAAAAATTCAAATTTATCTTTGAGTTTATGAAGCCTTTACTGAGTCAGTTTGGATACAATGTCATTTTCATGTTAAGAATAGAAATGCTTTTTTCATCTTACAGTTTCAGATTTCATTTGCATAACCTGTAAAATGTCCTAAATGAATATCAAAGTTTTTTAGTATAACTTTATATCACATTTGTTATTTTCTCCAGCCTCACAATAACGGTAGTGAAATCAGCAGTGTAGGGTAAAAGTTGAAAAATAGGGAATTAATCTAAATTACACTTTTTCCTTTCTAGAATGACTGCACATTATAATAGCCAATAGATAAAATACTCTTCAGAATTGGGCTCACTTAGTTTTATTGCTTTATAGTTGTACTTAAGACACTCTCAGTGTATAGCAAAAGCTATTCATTACAGCAGAAATGAGTTACCAGCATGCACATCAATTTATACAAGCATTCTTTCTGATGTACTTGTGCTCTCATGAAAAATCTTTTTTTTCTCATATAATTTTTCTAATATAACCTAATAAATTTGTAATTTTTGCATTTTAGTTTCTTGTATAAAAAATAAAAAATACACTTCAAAAATATGAAATTTAATACTTGTGTCTGGAATCTTGTTTTTTTTTAAAGTTTTTGTACTTACAAGAATGAAGTCCTGGAAGCACACTAAACCTACTTTTTGTTTCACAAATGATTTTTTAAAGTTCATATATACAACTTATAATACAAAGTATTGTTATGCACAAACAGTAGAATGTCCTAAAACTACTATAGTATAGTTGGCATTCTAAATAAGCTATAAATGGGTTAAAATAGTTCTGATACTTGGTTAAGTTGAGCTTCAATGATGGCAGACAATGAAATTGAGGTGAAATTTTTCAAAACCTGAATAATGTAGACTCAGAAATCAAATAAATAAAATCTTCTCTTTCTATTGGTCATAAATATTTCAATAGCAAATGTCAGAGAGAAATACTGACATTTTTTTTTTTATGACAGGATGTGATAGGAGGGGGTGTAGCATGTGAGTTTCACTTTGTATATCTCAGTAAAGCAAGATGCTTAAAGGCTAGAAAATTACATTGCAGTTAGCCTGGGAATATCTATAGTATAAATGTGTAATTCATGGGAACTTAGAAAATCTTATTGGGTAAAAAAGAAAATCCCACAGAGATATGTCACATGATACATAAAAGTGAAGATAGAATTTATTAAAGTATTTCCTTTTGAAATTAAAACTTGTATTAAAATTTGAATTATAAGTTACATTTTGATGCCAAGTTTATAGACACACATTAAAATAAAGTTTAGTTAAATTTTGAATGTAATTAAAAGGTCATGACATGTTCACTTTGGTACTGTCTGTGCACCAAGTTTTTTTTGGAATGCCTTGTTTTCTGGAGGTAAACTCCCTTATTTTCATCTCAAGGAACCCTGTATGGCATACTTCATTCCTGCAGAAGTTTTTCAGAGATCTAGTCCTGTGATCCCTTCATGGTGTTTCCTCTCCTAAGAGGACTACAATACCAGCTGTCATGGGGCTCTGTGATCAGTTGTTTCTGGAACCACCCTGCAGCTCTGGTTCTATGGTAGCTTGGTTCTTGCAGTTTTTTCAACTGGTGGATTTACTTTGAGGAAACCTATTGGTCATGTATATTTTTTCTTGGGAGCTTTCCTGTGTTTCCTGGCTCATAACTGAGGGCTTTCACATGAATAATGCACTTGTTGGATATGTATTTCTACTAGTATATGGACATTTGCCATCATGTAGCTCTTTCCTGGAAGGCAACATCTTATGTGACCTTCCTTCTCCTTTGGAAGTCTGCTCATCTGTATTGGCTAGTCAGGTTCCTATGTCAGTATTCACTCCCATTCTGTATCTGATTCATTTGAGAGGCAGATCAGTGGAATATACTCCACTCCCCCCAGACTTTTACCTTTTCACAGATGTTCCTCTACTCAATTGGAGTGTAAATCATCTTACTTGAAATTGTGCATCATGACTGTTATTCCTACCTTTGTCTCTTGCCTTCTCTAGCTCCAACAGTCAGTCTACAAATACAGAAAAATGAATCTAATTAGTTTTCTCTAGGATACTAGTGATATGCAATGTGATTTTTGTGAACAAGTTTTGTTCATTCATTTATGTTTGCTTCTTTTCCTTTACTATTCATGGCTGAAATTATTCCATGCTTAACATTTCATAAATGCAGTATGTATTGTGGATAATTGTAAATTTTGTTTGGACACTAGGTACCTGAATACATAGAATTTCATATTGCGAAGTTTATTTTGAATGTGATCTTTCCATTTGACTTCGGTTCTATGAAGAACCTAAGGCCACACAATGTGTGGTGAAGAAAGGAGGTGAGCCATAATCTGAATGCAGATTGAAGACTAGTTGAGGTCTTCTTCTGGACCAAGAGCTTTAACCAACTATGGTGAGAAGTATGTTTACATTCTTCACTTGTCCTCAGTACAAAAGGGCAACTAGAGAATACACTGGCTATTGAAGTTCAACCTTTACTTTATATGTCTCTCATAGAGGTGGTTAGATAGCATTGATCAGTCTGGACATCCAAGACTCACTAGAGTGGTTTCTTTGGGATTACTAAGCACATACTGACTATCTTAAGCATTACCAGGAACTTGTTTAAGTCACTAAAGTCCAAGAAAAGTAGTAAAGTGTATATAGTAGAATGAAGTTCACCAAGTAGTGCCACGACACTGCCAGGCACCTTGCCACGAAACTATGGGTTTGTGAAATAAAAAGGAAATGTTTCAGTAAGCAAGGGATATTGATAATACTTCAGAGTTGTATCTGGTATCTAAGATTATTACATTCATTGCTTAACACACTTTCTTGTTGTGTTCCAGACTTGACCCGAGAACACCAAATTTACCAGAATGACTGTCTCCAGATTTTTGTAGGAAATAAGGGCTACTAATGATTATGTCTGAGGTTCACTGTGATAGTGATAATGTTAAAGGGTATCTCCTTTGTTGCTGCAATGAGCAATCTACCATATTTATCAGGGTTGGTATACAAATGAAACAGACAACTGCCTGATCTATCTAGTGTAGAACTTGCTCTTTATATTTGTTGTAAACATTTTTAATAGTAATGTCAGTGAGAATTACAGACATTTCTTAAAAGACAAAGGGTATGGGAGGGACATGTCAATGTTGTTTGAACAAATAGTGATACCTTAGTGAAGCAAAAACGCTAACAGGTTGAAAATTTATATTCTGGCTTACCAAAGCATTTGTTTGTTATTCAATCTAAAGCCCTTATAAGGAAAAAACAAAAACAAAATCTATATACGAGAAATAATTGCGCCGCCAAGTTGTGTGACTTTGAGAGGTGGAGATTAGAATTTACTTGAAAATCAAAACTTGTATAATATACAAATTTGAATTATAAACTTTGTTTTTACTGCCAAGCTTATAGATATATATTGATAATAAAGTAGGTTAATTAAATATTGAATGTAACTTTAAAAAAAAAGTTATAATATTCCCACTTTGACCTTAGGGTTAATCAATTAACAGCTGAAAGGATGTTGTGACCCTTACTTTCTGAGCTTTGGTAGTGAGATGGTCTTGCAATAATTTGCCTATCTACCTTGTGAGTT